TCTAAATTTTACGGTATATAATGGAAAAAAAGGACAGGGCTTAAGAAATGAATCTTCACATTAAATTGCTCAAATACCCTTTACTAATCGTATCATAAGAGAATATATGTCGATGATATACAGAGTGAGAGATAAATAACAAATGTTAGTGTTGGATCGATTGAAAAATACAAAAGAATAAAAAAAATGAGTGAGCCCCTAAGGATTACATGGATTTTCATCAAATTTTATGCTAATTCTAAGTAATCATCCAAGAAAAGGGCTTGACTTGAATATTGAATCTTGACAACAAGATTACCAGACACCCAATATGGAGGTCAAAAAGAGAGAATCAATTTATTAGCTCTACAAATTGATATTGCAATCAAACAAACAAAAAATGAGTTCCCAAGCCCTTAAGATAACATGGGTTTCTATCGAATTTTAATGCAACAAGAGCGAAGATCATTACCTTGAAAAATGAATGTCGATCAACATCAAAATGGCCAAACACCCGTTTCTTCAGAGGTGTAATAAATGCACATTATTGAGTGTTGAATAATATCACACATATATAGAGAGCATCAGCGTCGTATGATAAATGGCATTGAATTTCTCATCAACCCAAGTGGAGTCAGTGTGAATGAGGAGAGCAGAGAACAGAGAGAAATCCAAAAATAAAGAAATTATAATAAAGAAGATAATTGGGCGAAGAAAGTGGCGTGTAAGTCACTTTATGTGAACACGAAGCCCACGACGCACACACGAAGCCAACAACGCATGAAGACGGGTGTCTGAGTGGTGGGCCCAGGGTCGCCCTTGTTACAGACCGAGGCAGGACGAAAGAGTGACTTTTTTTAATCGCAGGAAAAAGGCTGCAATTTTCATGAAAATAACAACTACCTACTGCTGATTTTAGGGATGGGGATGGGTTCGAGGCCTTGATACATGTAATAAACATTCCCATTTAGGGGTGGGCAAGTGCCGGGCTGAACAGTAGGCTGGTCTGGCCCGGCCTAACCCGTATTGTACTATAAAATGGCTCGGTCCCGAATTAAGTAAGGCTGAACTCGGCTTGATACTCACTCGGGCCATGACCCGTGTTAGGTTAAGCTTTAAACTCGGGACCAAGTGGCTTTTGGCTTGGCCCAATTGAGGCTTGATCCGGATAAGCCTAACC